GGAATGCCGCAAGTCTAGAAAGGTTGAGAACCACTGCTGTGGACACTTAGAAATAAATTCCTTGGTATGCTCCACATTTTTCAGATATGGTCCGTCTGACTTTAGGTCTTCAGTTCTTTAGATCCTCCTCCTCCTGCTTCTTAAAGATGAACAATAATAGATCCTTTTTCAGTCCTCTAAGGCTTCATATGACCTCTGCAAGTCCTTAAAGAGAACAGCCAGTCACTCTGCGATAATCTCAGCCAATTCATTAAGTACTTTAGGATGCATTGAATTTGGCCCTGTTGACTTGCTATCATGGAAGGGGAAGTTAAACTCCATGAAATGACTGCTGTAATCTCCATATCATGTGCTTATCTGTCACCAGGCAACTTTATCCCAGCGTGACCTGGGAGGACTGGGGGACAGGACATTTTGTATCAAACAAACTGATGCTGGAGGATATGAAGGGGTCATGTTCTCCCAGCTATTCAACAGACTAGACCAGGGCTGTCTAACTTCTGAGTGACTGGGTGATACCAGGTCCCCATGCCATTCTACATTATGCAGGCACCCCCTGCCACATAGCAGGTACCTCCCCCACTGCACTGTTCTAGAGCCCCCACATTGCACTGCATGCCCCTGCCCCTTTCTGCCCCCCACTCCAAAACCAAGCAGTAGGGACTGCTTCCTGCCCTGTACCACACCAGTGCTCCCACACCATGCAGTCCCCAGGCTACAGGCTCCTTCAGGAAGGAGGAGCTGGAGGAGGGAGTGAAACCCAGAGACTCCAGCATGGGCAGCAGCAGTATGGAAAACAGCACCTGGATTGGGAGCCTGGGGGCCACAGGTTAATCCCTCAGGGACCCCATATGGCCTGCAGGCTCCCAATTAGACAGCCCTTGACTAGACCACTGACCACACAGTGCTGCTTTGAAGGGAACTGAAAATGAACCCACAATCAGTTTTGACAGCTGCAAATGGTGCTCAACAACACTAGCCACTGCTCCTACTTTCAACCAGGGAAGGTAACAACAGATGAACATTGTAATCCTAATCCTAGCTCAGTTCAAGTATGGAACAAGGATCCTCAACCAGGGGGGATGTAGCACCCAGGCATACTGCAAGATCCTTTTAAGGGTGCCACGCAATATTAGTACTGTTAGGCACGCCCATTATTTGTTCTGGAGAGCAAGAGCAGTTCATATTTTCTGAGGTGGTGCCTTGAGTCTGATGAGGTTGAGAACCACTGGTGTAAACAATCTGAGATTGGAGATGCACATGATCTGAGCCAAAAGGCTGAGAAGCAATACTCTAATACATGCCACAACCCATTCAATAATCAGCCTTGCCCAGGAACACCCCCTGAAAAAGTCAGGCAAGGTTCTTTGGTTAGATGTGATATCTTTTATTAGACCAACTGAGTAGTTGGAAAAAAGTTCTTCGCAAGCTTTTGTGCACAAGCACCTTTCTTCAGGCATTGGGAGACTGCTGCTGTTCTGAGATCTCCAAGGTAGGAGATAAACTAAGAGTGTGAAAGGAGGTCATTGAAGATGTAAATTGCAAGCTTGTGCTCGAAAGTTTGCAAAGAACTTTTTTTCCAACTATTTAGTTGATCTAATAAAAGATATCACGTCTACCCAAAGAACCTTGCCTACCTATCTCCTTAAACCAACAACCCTCAAAAAGTCAACACACATGACTTCTGAGGGGAGAGTCTGTTGCAACAAGGGAACTGCCACACCAGAACAGATCAGTAGTCCATATCATCTTGAATCCTGCCTGATAATGATCAAGAGCAAAAATCTGCAACATGTAATGGTAAAAATTTACCCAGGCAAACAGTGTAGTCCAGTGGTTCTTAACCTTTTTAGGCACCCCTGGTTAGACTCAAGATACTCCTCAGAAAAAGCCAGCTCCTTGCTTCCATATGTGTTTTTGCCTACAGAAAAATAATACAGCAATTAATTCTTCTGTTGCAAGGAACTCAGACCACAACAGGTCAGAATGTTTTTAATACTGTGGATTCCTATTTGAAATGTCTGGGATTATCTTGTGAATCACGTTTGCACACCTAACAATGCTAACATTGCATGGTACCCTGCAGCACCTTTGAAAGTCTCAGGGCATTCCAGAGTGCTGTGACACCCTGGTTGAGAATCACCAATGTAGTCATTATCTTTATCAGATAAAGGTCATCTTATGCCCCAGAGCATGATGGTTTACTTTTCTTCTCTTTTTTTAAAAGTCCTTACTATTGAAAGTCTGTATATTCTCATCAGTCAGATAAGCAACTGATCCTTGTTTGTATCTGGCTAAGCTCCTGGTCTCAGTGACATCAGAGCCTCCAGTTCCCTAAGCTAATTGTACATTGGATTAAAAACATTTTTCCTTTTATTTATATTAAATTTGCTATCTTTAAAGTTGGCTGAAAATCCTTTTGTTCTCACACTGAGAGAGACTAGGCACTTGAATTTGTTCTACCATTTCTAAACCAGCACATGTTTTCATAGAATAACGGGGGGGGGAAAAAGTCAGGGTTGAAAGGGACCTCAGGAGTTCATCTAGTCCAGGGGCGGGCAATTATTTTGGGTGGAGGGCTGCTTACTGAGTTTTGTCAAGCCATCGAGGGCTGCATGATAGGCAGCCAGGGGCAGATTAATATTAATTTTCTACATTTTTTAGGGGCCCCGCAGGCCAGATAGAATGGCCTGGGGGGCCGCATCTGGCCCACGGGTCGCATTTTGGCCACCCCAGATTTAGTTCAACCCCCTGCTCAAAGCAGGACTATCCCCAACTAGATAATCCCAGCCAAGGCTTTGTCTACCCAGATGTTAAAAACCTTCAAGGATGGAGATTCCACCACCTCTCTGGGTAACCCGCTCCAGTGCTTTACTACCTTCTCATGAGAGACTATTTCTTAATATCCAACCTAAACTTCCCTTCCTACAACTTGAAACCATTGCCCCTTGTTCCGTCATCTGTCACCACTAAGAACAGTCTAGCTCCATCCTCTCTGGAACCACCCTTCAGGTAGTTGTCTGCTACTATTAAAACCCCTCCATCTTCTCTTCTCCAGACTAAATAAGCCCAGCTCCCTCAATCACCCCTCAGAAATCATGTGCCCCTTAACTCCCTTCATTGCCCTCTGCTGGACTCTCCAGTTTGTCCACATTCTTTCTGTAGTGGGAGGCCCAAAACTGAACACAGTACTTCAGATGTGGCCTTGCCAGTGCTGAACAAAGGGGAAGAATCACTTCCCTTGATCTTTTGGTAATGATCCTACTAATATAACCCAGTATGCTATTAACCTTCTCGGCAACAAGGGAAATTGATGGCTCATCTTCAACTTATTCTCCACTGTAACCTTGTAATTTTTTCTGCTGAACTGCTGCTTAGCCAGTCAGTCCCCCGATGCATGGGTTTGTTCCGTCTTAAGTGCAGGATTTTGCACATCTCCTTATTAAACGTCATGAGATTTCTTTTGGTCCAATCCTCCAATTTATTGAGGTGTCTTTTAACCCTAGTTTTACCCACCAACTTATCTACTACTTCCCTCACACACCCCCAGAATGGTGTCATCACAAACTTGCTGAGTGTGCGCTCTGTGTCATTTTCCAGGTCGTTGATGAAGATATTAAACAAAACCAGCCTCAGGACCAACTCCTGGGGCACTCCGCTTTACACCAGCTACCAACTAGACACTGAGCCATTGATTAGTATCCTTCCAGTTCAACAATCCATCCAGTTTCCTAACCACTTTACAGTCCTTTCATCCAACCTGGACTTCCTTAGCTTGCT